GTGGGGATGTGATTGCTTATCAAACTTAATCATTCACGATGCGTGATGTGGCAGCCATTATCACGGTCTAATTAAACACAGAGTGCCGGGGGGGGGGGGGGAGGGGAGAGAGAGAAAACTACCACAGTCCACCATTACACCGCTACACCTGCAGAATTGGTCAGAGTCGATGCGAACGTCACCAACAAAGAAACATGCACGGCTATAATTGAGTATCAGCAGAATCATTTCTCATTGGTCGACTTCCGTATTGCCATTTGATTGGCTCTTTGATGAAAGCAAGTCATAATAGCGTAGCCTAATCCTATGGTTCGGACCTCCTCAGTAACAAGTGTAAATTATGTTGATTGTTGAATCATGGCTATACTATAGAAATGGTTCTGTCGTTCAATTCGCCTCTGCTGTCATTGTTATCGTACGACTGAGGCTCCTTGTGCTTTTAATAGTACAGGTGCTGAGTGGCTCAGCTCAGCTAGAAACGTCCGAAAGTGTAAACAGTTAGTCCTAGTACATGTACCGTCCTCGACCCACAGCTGGAACACAATGCTAGTACATGTACCACACAAACGGACCAAGACCGTTGAATGGCCGAATACTTTCGAAGGCAGTACATGAAGGCTTTACTTTTCAATCTCTACTTTAGTCTTTAGCCCACTGGGTAGCAGTGCACGTTCCATTGATTGTCATGATACGACTGTATGCATCTATTGTCAACTGCCATGGCTAGCCATGATAGAACCACCAGTTCGTTCTTGACTTGCTGGTGAGTGCAGTACAAGCCTGAACATGTATTATTGTTCTTGGGTCAGGACACGTTACAAATTTTGCGGCAACAGCCTCCAGCTGTCGACGGTGGCCCGCTGGTGGCAGATGGTCGAATGTCGAGTGTCCGTATGTCCGCGGGCTACATGCCACGGCACCGCAACTAAAAGTGCCTTTCCTCCGAGAATTGGCATTAACTAATACAGGAATGTAAAGTTTAGAAGAAAGCCTAATCGAACAGACCCATCCGCACGATTACAGTGCCTTTTGCACAACTACAGTATTCTTTTGGTTCGACCAGCGGACACTGTCAAACAGTAAACTTCTCTATGATTGGCATGATGAATGGTATCTCGGACTACAAACGCTATTAGTCTTGTAAAGCCAATAATCAGATGAGAGAGAGAGAGAGAGAGAGAGAGAGAGCGAGAGGAATCCGTACCAGCAGGGCAACGACAGTAGCTGTAGCGAGATGTTGTGTCAAGCGAGTTGCACGTTTTTCCTGCGGCTAACTACAGCTGCTACGTCCGCTAACAATCACACGAGTGGAACAATGCCCTTTCGTGTTGTGAATTGATCTCCCGCTTGGATGCCTTTTGTCATGGAAGCCTGGCAACAAGAGGCTGCTTTACTGCAGTGGCAACGGACTGCTAAGGAATAGCTGCAATATGATGATTCTCGCTTGACTCTACATGATGAAGACACAAGCACAAGCTTCATTGCCACTTTCCCCCGGATGTACTCAGATGCAGGCTCCTCGAACTCACTTTCAAAATAATTGCTGATTGTTTGTCATGGGCATGTAGTACGTAGATCTACCGGTGCCACCGGACCATTTGTGTACCATTTGCGGGCCGAACAACTAACTAAATTAGTGGGACGTCTTGAGTCGGCAATTCAATTACGGATCGACTTGTTGATTTTACCTGTGTCGGTATGCAGATTGCCAAAGTCGCTTCTCGCCGCAAAGACTATGACTGGACCGAGATACGTCACATTGTATCCGACAAGCTAGAAAACCTGCATTCTTATGGAAATGAAACGTGAAGCTCCCGAAAGAATACGGCAACGGTTGTAAACAACGCTTTGCAGTACCCGCGGCATCGCAACCATCCGGCATCCTTCGGCGTTGAAGTCGACTGAGGGCAAAGCACAGGTGTATGTCGTTGTTCTGGTTCGCATGCCTATGCCTATGGCTATGGCTATGGCTATGGCTGTGACTACAGTATCTTAAACATTTCCAGAATACAGTATCCTGGTATCAGTGTTTATTAGAAATGCTATACTCCTATAGCAATGCTCTACTTCGAAGTACATTGTACCTTTTAAAATTATTACAACACTCTAGGGACTCGGACCTGGTGCAAACTACATGTACGAAGACTTGAGTGTACGAACTGATACATGTAATGTATTTCACTAGCGACTCGGAGAGCTTCCATACAGATTACCAACAGTCCGTTACCCCTAGGGTTACGGACTATTGGTAATACGATAAGACGCAATTTAGCAAGGTGATGATTAATATAATAATAATATTAATCATCACCTTGCTAAATTGCATGATAATTATTATCACTCTCATGCCAGATGCGCTCTACTGCGTCCCAGTACAGCGATATCAGTATCAGTAATCACATCACTCACACACTACATCTGTGCAAACACTGGTTCCAGCCCTAACGTTAACACCCACACGTGTGGTATCGGTGCCATTGTTGTCGACCACCCTCACACATTCCTGCATGCACTTGGCTGGAGAAGAAGATCATCCATTGAGCATCCATCGCTTTATACCGGTATTACTTTGAAGTACGATTATTATCATTGAGTTCTATTATTGTTCTCAGCGCTCAGGTATCATGCAATACCAACATTGTATGATACAATCGACTCATGTGCTCGTAGTGCCAGGAGCAATGACAGGTGATGCTTCAGCGCACTATTGTTCCCTCTGGTCATAAAATACGCAGCAGCCACAGGAATTCAGTAACCCACTTGATCAACCTAACATGGCAATATGCAATGCCAGGCGTTGTGCGAGCATTGCCTGATAAACGCACCAATTATCCTGGATATGTGTGATCAGGGCGATGGTAATTATGCTCATTTGCTCAGCCCGTCCCCATACAATCCATTCCCGCTTGTCAGCCAGCAGACTTGATAGACTCACTGGCAAGCGAGAGAAAAGGGCCGGAACAGGCAGTTGACACGAGTGATATTAATTACACGTCTGTTACCTCATTATCGCTTTACATGCACCACTCCAGCGATCGAGCGCTAAAATTAATATTATATTCTGCTTTTTACGGCAGAGTCCCCATAGAAGTGTACCCATCGCCGCCGACAAGTCCATGGTGTCTCTCCATCACTGACACAGTGACAGCCATACCAAACTCACAAGATGGACGTAGTTACTCATTCGCCTGACAATAGTGGTACATATCTTTGTCTGGCACAGAAATCGTCCATGCGTCTCACAATGTGAGCTGAACATGAAGCTCCAGGACATTCTGACAGAAATCTGTAAGGTGATCCTGTACCGTGTGTACGACCTCGACCTCGTTAGAGCTGATCCGCTGGGACGCTGTAGCTTGTTACATGTCTATTGTAGATCGGACCCAATGTTACTGCGTGTGGCCATGCCAGAGGAATCGCCGCCTACCACCTGACCAGACACCGATGCAGGTGCTGCAGCCCTGCGTGTGCCTGCGCCGGCGAGCGCGCGACCAGGACCCGAAGGCGACGACCGCTTTGACGCATCACATGTCAACTCACCGGTCAGTTCGACAGGTTATGGTCGATGCCGTCAACATGTGAGACGGGTCCGGGTCGAGACCTCCTCTTATGTGCAACGTATTACGCTGTCATACAAACAGTCATGTGCATGACTGTACTGATGTAGTCTACAATGACTATCTCAGTATCTGTGTACATGTAGCCTGATGTACATGTACTAGCATGCAGATGGTGAAGGTTCGGATACAACTGATGCGGACATGGACAGCGTAGGAATGTCTGGCAATGCCCCGCACAGCGAGGGGTCTGATCAATCATGACTCCTCGCAACTACTGCCTGGCAAGGTGTACGTGTAAACAGAAAGGCGACGATACATAGCCAAAACACCATCGCGGGCATCCGTGTAGCTGATCCGTCAACCAAGTCAACATGACCAGTGTGCCATCATAACTCTGCTACGAGCAGCCACCTGCATGCACTGTTGGCAACATATGCCCCAGTCATTGGCAGCAGCGCAACACACAACTGCAGGCCTTGACCAACACCACCGCAAAGAAACCCTCCTGGCATTCTGGCCTATATCTTATGGCATCTTACCCTATCAACATAAGCACAGTAGACAGACAGACAGACAGACAGACTGTGAACAGCATGGCCAAGGTCAGCCAGCACCTGACACTGGTTGACCCGCAGTTCGGAGTTAGGAAGATGTCAGTTCAAAAGCGCATCAAACCATTGGAATGCAAGCAGTCACTCATCGTCGCGATTGCTGCGATGGACGAAAGATCACACTTTCTTCGTATTGCACGTACGTGCAGCAGCCGTGAGAGCGAACGCGTGGCGGCAGCGGTCTGCCCCGATGACTCTCTTGTTGATATTGTCACGGGTTTGGAATGCACCAAAGCATGTATGTGCCAAAGCAAGGAATGACGACAAGCCACAGCATAATTTTCTCTTTGTTAGCCAAACGTTTTCGCTAGACACGATGACACCCACAATCCCAATGTTTCTCACGCTCCTCTGCTAGATCATCTACAGCCAAGTGTGTACAGTCATAGCCCATGTTGCCCTACATAGATACACACGACGACAATGTGCAAGCCTCCACTCCAGCTGGTGTAAACCATTGGTGGTTAAACTGCAGGTGATGTTGCACAACACCACGTCGGGGCAAGAGTACTGGGGCGAAGAACGGTTCGGGGCGCCGAGCTCCCGTACCTGCTTCAGAAACACATGAACTGACGGCAAATTAGTGCAAAGGCTATAAGCGGTGTCGGCATCTCTGCGAGAATGGTCTACGGCGACAAGTTAGTTTGCTTCAAGCCAGTCGCAACGGGAAAGCTATCACAGCTATGCAAAGTGACTGTTAAATTCATGTACTTGTACCAGTTCTCGCGCCTTGACAACATTACCACAGCGCACATAGCGCTGCATGCGGCCAGTCATCGTGTAATAAAACTGTATAATATTCTGCACTGGGCAAGAATAGCAACATAGAAGGTTGTTGCTAGAATTGAAGTGGCAATAGTTGCGAACGTCCTTGGTACTTATCACCTACTAGTACTAGTACTAGGCTAGAGTGGTGCCTAGCATACAATGTAGCCTGTCGTGTTCGTCCTATCTTGCTGGACGCAACATAAGTTCTGCTATTCCGCGATCAAAACGGCGTGAGATCGACAGAGTAAGTACATTGTTTCAGCCCTCAGTATGCTTGGTAATATTAGCACATCTCCGGCATGGCAGTCTATCACCAGTCTCTTGATCTGACCTTGGAAAGTGGAAAGCATAACATATTGGGCCACTCACTGAACTGACACAGTTCGGATCCGAACACAGCTGGCTACACTAGCCTACAATCTACAGTCTATGGCACTCGTCGTCGTAGCATCGGAGCTAGCTTGCAGCCCGGGACATCGCTTACCACTGCGTCACCGCTGCTAATATAGTGATACGTCAAGCCACAGATCGGACATCCGCACACATCAAAGGTCCAGCCCCTGTGGCTCGTGAGCAAGCGAAATAAATAGCTCGTAGGCCTGCTAGCCAGCCACAACAATCCAGACTGGCGTGCTTGGGTCTCGGTATTTCCGACTAGGGGACGCGTCTTGCCGTGTGCAGCACTCTAGTCTAGTCTATGTCAGCACTGCCATAGTGCACTAGTGTGTGGTGCAGTGCAAAGGAGTGAGTGGACAAGGGGGGTACATGACTGTAGTGTTGGGTCTATAAAGCTGAACGCCTGGTGCAAGGTCAGGTTTCAAGCAGACATTACTGAAGAGGACGCCTTGTCTCAACGCTTGACTGAGCCAGTCCTGTCTCGTCGGCCTACCTCCAGACATTACAGCACTCGTTTTCCTAGCCGACAAATCCAGACACCAGTCCCCAATGGCGCTGACGATGCGTAAGAATGGCATGCAATGGCTGTCGGTAGCTGCGACCATTGGCTGCCTACTAGGTATTCTGACTACCGGTGTTTCGAGCAGCAAGCGACTACCCCGCTTCATCTTCGGTCACCCAGCGCTTATGGAATGCAGCTTGGATGGGCCGGCAGAGGAGTTACCCGACCAGTCCGGTAAATAAAGTTAGCAAAGGTGTACGTGTACAACAATCACATGCTGAGAGACTGAGAGACGATGCTGGAAGCAACATGTTTCCGCGTCCGGTGTGCAATCTGTTTGGGATTGATGGTGCGTTTCATGGCGCCTCTCATTGAAAGGAATGGTTTCGGTGTGCCCTATTGCACACGCGGCGCCAGTTGCACAGCAAGCCAGAAACGGCTGACCCCGAGTGATCCAGTATTGTCTCGAGACTAGAGTTGTTCCGTAGGCAATATGTTACCGTGTGCATACGTGGTCTGAGGCTGAACGGCTTTGCTTTTCTCCTTGATCGTCCGGGAAATGGGTGATGGTGACCTTGTTTGAGTGACGGAATGAGAGATAAATACGCATACACGCGTTACGCTGTACAGAGTAACGAACTGCCGATGATTTGACAGTCTGTGCATGTCAGCTCCTAACAAGTCCTGTAGTTGCACGCCAGTATGATTTTATCATCACAGGCGAGGAGTATTGGACTAGGCAAAGACTTCAGTTGTGCTGTCTGATAGAAAACGGGCACCCTGCATGAATGAATCTGTCAGTCTCAGAAGTCAGATGTTGCCTTCTCACTCCCTGAAATTATACTCTTGAAGTAGTATAATCTGCGGACAGTATGACTGTTATGTACTTCTAGGGATCTTGCCGGACAAATGGAAAGGAACTGAGCATGGACGAACAAATAATAATAATCTCATCTTGCTCTCTCCACGTGTCACACCGCACACCCATTGAGCCTTGTGGTTTTCACGACGTGTTGATTTTGTTGCAGAGCCAGCGCTGGGTATGCTGACGGAGCACTGTCCGAACCAGCCCCTGCTATGCTGCACGCAGCGCACTGTCAACGACGTCACACGTATCATGCAGCGTAGCAACATCACCGCAGTGCTCGACTCCTTCTTCAAGGAGCAGCTAGCCGCTGTCAAAGCCGTCATGCGTTCGGATCTATACCGTAAGTAGGAAAGTTCTTATAATAGCACTAAGTAACAGCCGAAGTTTTAGAGAAGTCTACAATCATGTACATGTATTTAAAAATGCTTCTGACCGCAGATTCAGTGTTGCATAATAAATTCAGCGCCCTCAACTGACGCATTTTATAACTATTTACAGTAACACTGGTAAGGGACTAGACATGCGCACAAACGAGGTACATGGATGTGCATGTACATGTAGAGGTGCGTTTTGCTCATGGACGACAAACGATGAAAACCGGTCACCCTTTGAATGAGGGTGATCTACTACAGCGTCCGCGGATTTCCACAGTCAGCAGAAGTGATTGTGTATCGAAAACAAGGGGAACAAGATGATTGCACCAGAACTGGGGAAACAATGGCTTTCTCAAATATGCATGCAGCGCAGCCCTTATCAGATCGTTGTTGTAGTGATGGAGTAGTTAGTGGCATAACCTCAGGCTGCATTGCCTGGAATGAGTGTAACAGTACACACTTGCTAACCAACCTGCACTACACTGTACTACCCCTACTAGTATGTGTGTGACATGCCAGAGTTGCCGGTGCAGAGCTGGCCACAAAAGAGGGTGAAAATTGGATTATCATTCAGTGACAGGTCCTCTGGGCAGTTCACTTCCATCCCAAATACACTGTCATCACTTCTTGGCCCCTGGGCCAGAACTTGAGCAAGACTTTAAAAAGAAGACAATCCCTTGCCTTAGTCACGGACAAGAAACGCATGTTCTACTGAATTGGAGGTTCCATTCTTTGTCAGCAAAGTGAGTTGCCTGGGTCACAGTCAACTGTTATAAAGTGGCAGGTGATTACATGGCCAATCGCGGGCAGGCTGGCCACAGGGTGATGCTCTGAGCACAAGAAAAAGGTGCCGACCAATCATCTCCTGAGAGGAGAAAACACACACAGCACCGCACCACTGCCAAAACACTGGACATTGTCTTTAAATGAGTTCAGGCTATTTTAAAGCGGAGTGTTGTAACTTACATGCAGCTGCTGAGCTCAGCTGCATGGTATGGGGTAACTTGGGCAATGGCTTGCCCAACACATGGGGCTGTGGCCTGGATGATGACCACAGTAAAAGGAAGTTTGTATGCAAGCTGGCATGCTGTGGAAATAAGCAACAGCTACAGCTTGTGGAGTAGGGCCACTTTTAAAATACTAGTACATAGCCCCGTTGTGTACACTGTGTGTACCGTTGTGTACACTGTGTGTACCGTTGTGTACACTGTGTGTACCGTTGGGATGATTGCACATGACTTGTATCCATGATTGTACTTCGAAGTAGCGCTTTGAAGTATTAAATTTTGTACATCATAACTATGCAACACATGCAGATCCATCCGTTCCTAGCACGACACAGTTGACACAATACACAATAGCATGGTTGACATTTGAATAGAGAGTGTACTGGTCCTTGGGGTGCATGCCAGCACAGACAAAGCTTGACCTACACATATTGCTGGTCTATTATTGGAAAGACAAAGGACTTTGCCTCCACATCAGGGCATTTTGCAACAAATCTCTGATGACCTCTTTGGACTATTGGCAGCTATTGAAATGATGGAGTTGTGTAACATTGTATTGATGCATACCTGAGCTTTGCACTGGTACACTGCCTTGGCCTGGGCAAGAGTCTGTTTGGGAGAAAGCCATGGTTTCCCAGACACAGCTGGCAAGGCTTTCAATGTGCATGAAGCCTGGCGCAAACAGATTAGCATAATGCTGGAAACTAACTTGGAAAGGCACCTTAGAGCCAATGACAACAGAGATGCCCATGGCTAGGGGTAGCATATGACTGTAACCATGCTGGGGTTATGTACTGCACTGAGGAGTGCACTTTGTGGGACTAACAGTAACACTGTTTGGGACCACTAGAGAGTTGACTCTGACAACATGACAACAAGATATTGCTTCAAGTGGTTGCCATCAACTGACTCGGCTGCTGGATGTCCTGTCTCCCTACTTCCATGCACTTCCTAATCTCAGTCAAAGTATGGTCAGTCACATGACCGGTTCCTGTAGCCACCACTGTTCAAAGTGAATACTTTTAAATCCATAGGGATGCAATTGTGATGAGATTGGCAGCCATTGAAGACCACTTGTACCCATGAATCAAGCAGCTCATACCAGAAGAGGAGCATGCATGCTTGTCCAACAGGCCGCATGTATATTATTCTGAGGATCCAGCATTCCGCATAGCTGGCGTAATGTCCAGACAAAACAATTGCTTCCAGCCAGTTTGATGTGAGAAGGTGCTTGGCTGGGGAAGTGAGAATTACCACCATAGGCTGCTGCAGACCCAAAACTAGCCCGCTAGCCATGCCAGCAGACATTATGCGCATAGACCCCTTGCCTGCACTATCTTCCACAAAGCTCGGAATTGAAACAAGCAAAGTTGTGGCCTTGGTTAGCAAAAGTGCCCCTACTTTTGAAGTGCATTGCATACCAGAGTTGGCAAAACGGTTGATTGATTGATTGGGGGAAAATGTTCCCCATTCTGGTCCATGCAGTGATATGATTCTTCAGGAATGCATCGGGCCGAAAATGCACTGTGTATTTCGTCTCCATGCAATTGGGCTTGTAGACTATTGTGTACTAGTGAATTTAAACAAAAGATACTTGTATACAATAGAGCATAGTATTGACTATTGAGTCATTGTTTATCACTGACGAGGGGCGGCAAGGCCAGTGATTATCATGCAGTTTTCACCATCCATGACACTCAGAGGCGCTGGTAACAGTAACAGCCATGTGAACACTTGTGCATCACAAATGAGGGGAGGAGAACTGAACACCTAACGAGGAGAATCACGCGTGATCACGTCGGGAATTCCATTGTGACCTCTCCCTGTTATCCGTCACACCGTGTGTCTACTGGGCTGGTGCACTCGCTGCTTGCTTTCATTGCAAGCTTCAAGATCCAATATACCGACAATGACCCGCCATGCTAAATCTAGCCTAAGGGTCATTCAATCTCTGAAGAACTCCTTCAAAGCAAGTAATATTCGTCTCATGAAATGACTTACACGTGTACCCCGTATGCTAATAGAGTGCTGGTGATCACCAAATTTTCACACCCAGACACTCCTTGGCTCTTGAGCAGACGCCTAAGAACGTGTGAACGTGCGCATGCAACAAAGGTGTATAATTCAAGCACCAATCCTATTCTATTGTGTTGTGTACATTATACTCTAACATCCAGCCATGTTCTGCATTGTCCGCTGTGTGTAGGTATTGGCGACGTCCTGGTACGAACCATTCCACAGGAGTTTGACATGATCGATCCGATTGAGCTCAACCTGATAAGACCAAACATCCAGGATATATTCTGCCGCGCCAGTGCCGAGTTTGCCCAGGACATTGACGAGCCGCTCTGCCATCACAAGGGCATCGAATCCAGAGCTAAGGCCAACTTCATCCTGGCTGGAGCTTACACGAACGCAGCAATGACGGCAATGGGCTACCCCGGACGTCTTCTGTCGCCGCAGGCCAGTCGGTGTGTGCGTGCGTACAGCACACGATCCTACGCGTCCTACTCGCGTCACGTCGACTCGCTGTCCTGCACGCTACACTCGCTGCAGTGCCAGGTGAAGCCGGCCCTGCTCGCGCTGCAGTCCACAGCGGAGATGATCGACCGCGTCCGCTTGCTCATCCACTCCGAGCAGTTCCCCGGACCACGCTGCAAGCAGGCACTGATGGACCTAACCGTGTGCCCGTACTGTGCGGGGATGCAAGCAGTCCCGCCGTGCCTGTCCTCCTGCAAACATGTCCTCCGGACGTGCTTATCAGAAGTCATGAATGATCAACTGCATGAGATCTTCCTCCCGGTCATAAGCAATTCGCTCAACAGACTCCAGACGATTCTCGCATCGATTTCCGACAATCTGATCCAGGCCCGCAAAACTATACAGAAAGTCATCTTGGAAGCTAACCAAGACGTCACTAACAGACTTGATCATCGCCAGCTAAAGGAAGAGGTAGGCAATAGCAGTTTACAGTCAACTTCGCATATAACGACACTCGGCGGGGCATAAAAAAAGTGTCCTTATTCGCGAAGTGTCGTTATACCCGAAGTCTCATCATATGTATTACAGTTACATGGGACTTTGCTCTGGGCATGGAAATTCTGTCGTTATTCGCGAATTGTCGTTATATCCGCAGTCGTTATAAGCGAAGTTCACTGTACAACTTAAAGCACCAGCAACGGTGCTGAGTGCCCACGATGAGAACATAATTAGCCTCCGGGGCTTAAAAGAACATACACATACAGATATGTCATTTGCGAAATTCAGCCTCTTGTGAAGGCATTGTTAGCTGTTGGGAATTTTCCACGGCGACAAGTGACCACGCTTGCAACAGGCAACGAATTGTGAATTTCCTGAGGGGTTCTCTTCCTAAAATGTATTTTAATATCAAAAGCATTCCAGAATTGGCCGCATCACCTCCCTTTGGGCACCACCTCCCTTTGGGCTATAACTTACCTGCAGTGCATCATCTACTGTCAATACATAACTGTACTGCCGGTTTCCTATTTGTGACAATCTCTTTGCTCAATTCAGATCAACCATTCATGCCACCTTAGCAGCATTCTCAATCAGCGCTACGAACCACAGGCCTGTAACAATGCTGAGCCACTGCCGGACTATCGGCGGATCATGCAGCAAGCCATCGAGACGACCCAGTTCTTGAAGCACGGCTTCAGCAAGCTGGATGCCGACCATGCGAGCATGCTGTGTCCGAAGGTTGGCTGGCCACGCTTGTGCATGCACTCCCCACTTCGGTTAGTAATCTATGGTGGCAAGTCAGTGGCTTCCATCCTGGCACACCCAGCTTTTTTCCTTCTTCTGTGTCAAATACATTATTTGTCCTGTTGAGGATTTTTGGCAGATGATGAATGTTCAACACCTAAGCAATTGCCCAAGGGTTAATACAAGTACATGTATTCACTTCTACTTCAAGCAGTGAAAATAACTAGGACGTGGGAATGCCGGAGTCATTCATTGAACATTTCTTCAATCAAAAAACTTCAATGAAAGTATTTTTTTAATGTGAGTCACTCTCTAGCTCTAACCGTTTGAATGTTGCTTCTACCATTCATTTGATTTTTCTTGCAGGCCACAACATCTCCCACCAGCCAATACACCTTTCAAGGAATACACACAGGAGATCATGGGTCTGTTTCTCAATCGCAACAGTCACCTGTTCGACTTCATTACCAGCGATCAGTACCGTTTGCTGTACGATGATGAAGATTCCCAAGGCAGCTATCAAGTAATAACCGAGGGCTCTGGCTCAACGTCAGCATCAGGCAGGGACCTAAGTGGAGATGGGCCGTTGGAAATCTCCGGCAGTGGTAGCGGATACGAGCACATTGACTTCACTCCGAGACCCGTCATAAGACCGTTCATCCCGCTAGTCTGTGAGGAGGACGAAGAACCGACTACAACCACACACCAGGGAACAACCAGGACGGCCATCCAGACAACAACAGCCGCAACAGCAATGCCAACAACATCTCATCGCGTTCTCCATCGCACTAGCCCACACGGCGCAGCAAGAAGTGAGTCTGATAGACGTCCAGTAACACATCCTGACACTTCTAGTTCAACGAAGACCTCAACAGCTACACCTGAGAATGGAATACCGACGAATAAGGTTAAAAACTATGTGTCGGAGATTCCAGCAACCAAAGCGCATTCTACGTCTGAGTATAAGCCAAGCGGTTCAGCCACAGTCAAGGCAGCGCCTGTGCTAACGATATCATTATCCGTGTTGGTATGGGCAGTCTCATGAGCCGCTTCACAGCAGACGTGCTGGTCATCGTCAGCAATGCCATTGTTGGAAAGCAAATAAACCAATGGTACTCAATCCGTGCAGTCAGTGGCCTACGAGCGCTATTACCCGTTGACATCTTAGCAGCCGCACATCCACTGCACGTGACGCGACACGTTGTTTGCAGTACGTGATCCGGTGATGCTAAACTGTGACAAGACACAGACGCCATACTATATCCCAACACCGCAGATATCTATACCCATCTCTACAAGGCTTTTGTATTCGATCATTAGAAGACTCTATTAGCAATCATACGAGAAGAGAACTAGCCCTCTACCGAAGAGAGAACAGCTAGTTCAAACAGGTGCTCGTGTATATTTTGTATATCTGGATCAATCATCTCCAGGGCAGCAGTAAATCCTACCGTTTGGTTGAGCCGTAATGACATAAAACTCCGTAAATCGTAATTGTCTTGGATCACGTGTAATTTGAGATAAGTCGTGAGCATTGATCAGAGTAACTCCCACTTGAAATGGGTGTCACTATCGTGTTACTTGTAATGCATGCCACTCGCTTAACATAACAAATAATTCCACAACCTGTAACGCCTGATAAAGTTTAGCTTCCGCCCGATCATGACATGGAACTTCTTCCACCCATCCTGTGCATACTAGTATAGCATGGCTGACAAACACAATTGCATCCACTTATTTATACTATTATAGACCTCACTGTCATGTTTGTCAAGATTTCCTCGATACCACTAAGCTAAATGGATACTGACGTTGATTATTCGTGATCAAATTTCTTCTATTTGACATGCCTCTTGAGAGAAACAAGACGAACGGAAATCACCCAGTGGTGGAACATGTGCTAACACCCTCCTGAACACTGTGTCACGGCCATGCCGCTGTACGGTCGGAGGCCGACGAATAACCTTGGGCTGGGCGGCCCAGCCCTGAGTCCGCCACTGTGGTCGTAATTTTACCGTAAAAGAGTTTATACGGGGGATCGGGAGTTGGGGATATCATAATCCAGTGCCATGATTCCGTAACCATAGTGAAATGGACGTCAGCTAGACGAGCCGTAGCCATGGTAGCTGTAGACCATACCATTCATAGCAGTGCATCCATATCGCAGATCAATTCATAGCCGCATCCATATTCCAGATCAATTCATAGCCGCATCCATATCCCAGATCAATTCATAGCCTAGCCGCATCCATACCCCAGATCAATTCATAGCCATCCACAATTCCATATACCAGATCGAGCCGCCAGATCCATGGACGGCACACTCAGCGCAGCGTAATATATGCAGTTTCAACTCGGATGGAGAGCCGAGGATTAAAATTAAAAACAAGAGGACCATAAGTTTACAAGTTATCCGTCAACAGTATCCTGCTTATAATCCTTAGTGTTGAACAAAACGGATAACTTGTAAACTTATGGTCCTCTTTTTTCCTTTAAAAAATAAATAATTATGCAGTCTTTTTGAATTGTCTGTAAACTCCAACACAGCCACTTTTAATATTATAGCTCTTCACTTCTAGTAGTTCTCAGCCCCACTAGGCCCAGGTAGATTCTGCTCCTGGCTGGCCTCTATTTTACCCATTCCCATGCAAATTTTCATAAAAAGTTAAAACTGCATGCTCGGTTTCCCCGCCCGGGTTTGCTAACACGCGCTCCCAGGCTCATACAATGATGCAGATTCACACTGAATCCCAGTGATACTTCAGTGGGACCGTCCCGATCTTATCCTGGCCGGTGTGCAGCCATCGTGCTGAATCAGTCAGTGGGGAACAAAACAACAGCAGGCATACATTTCGCCCGGAATCGGCTCTATAATATATAGAGCCGATTCCGGGTAAAATCAGAGCTAATATTATTAGCTCTGATTTTACCCGGGCGGTTTCCACTTTTTCAAGTACTCGCCGCAGACTCCCAGGCATTGCAGCCATACATGTATACTAGTACATGATACACACATTAGGGCCCCTCAACTGTCACTCAAACACTCAAAACACAAATTTCCACTTCCAAGTACATGGCTGTACCGTTGAATTCGATATTTCGCCAAAAGAATTGCTGGCAGAATCTGTGTGGACCTATCTCCCACCCCCAAAACGGTCTCTTTACTGCGAGGCAACTTTATAATTCCGGCATAAACTTATAGTTCAGGCCAAATTTTGGCGGAATGTACTGTGAGTAGGCCTTTGCGGATAATGCCGGCACTGAGAAAAATTGGCAGAATTCGGTACTTTTCTGGTAAGTTTCATCAGTGCATGGTTGGTATGTGGATAAAGAAATGGAGCAGAATTCGAGGAATTGCCTGCCATAAGGTTCAAGTGTATGGTTCTGCCAATTTCACTGATTTTCGAGCAGAATCTGCCACCTTTTCGAGCATTATCCGCCAATGCCTAACCGTGAGTACATGTACATTCACTACAATCATTGTACTTCATTTTTTATTCCCGTAGCTATGCAGAAGACGTTACTTCAGTAACGTCTGGCGCTAGCCAGGGTCCACACAGCTTTAATTTGGTGTTTGTTTGTTTGTGTCACGCCTGGCGCTATCCCGTATCTGTCCCGTACCGTACCGTACCATCAAACACAGCTGGCCACATACAGCTGGCCGCAATATTCAAACTTTCAAACGCAAGATCATAACGTGAAGCAACTTGGAAGAATGAGTATGAATGCGAAGTGTATGGGGGAATGCATGTAGGGCGAGAGCGGGTTCGAATCCCAGGTTATGCCTAAAAAATAGGAGAATTGAAAATTTTATAACATCCCTATGCTTTTTTTGCCTAGGTCATCAAGGTGGTAGACGGTGTCGTATTACCCTCGACCGTACCTGTCCCGTACCTGTCCAGTACCTGTCCCGTACCGTACCGTGCCATCAAAGACGGCTGGCCACAATGCATATTCAAATAGGGCTTTCAAATGCAAGATCATAACGTGAAGCAACTTGGAAGAATTAGTATGTATGCGAAGTGTATCGGGGGATGCATGCAGGGCGATAGTGCGGGTTCGAATCCCAGGTTATGTCTTTAAAAAAAAGGAGAAATTTATATGAATTTATAACATCCCTATGCTTTTTTGTCTAGGTCATCAAGGCAAAAAAGCATAGCGTAGGGCCCTGAGCTTCCAAGCTCTCTCGTTTATTCCCAGTAAAGCGTTCTTGGAGTTGGAGAAGCGACGAGCTACTTACACTATCATTGTATCAAGTATCAATGATGAATGACTACTTACATTGTACTATCGTTGCCAGAAAAATCCGGCCAGTGCTGCACATGGTAGTGGACTGCCATGTGCAGCACTGGCCGGATTTGTTTGGCGGCGATAGTACAATAGTAGTCATTGTCAAGTTGATACTTGATACAATGATACCGTAAAAGCCCCTGTATACGCCCACTCGAAATTACGCCCACCCTCCGCGCACACGCCCAGTCAGGGGAAGTCAACACTTTTGTTTCGAAATAGCGCCCATGCCCATGTATACGCCCAGGTATGCCGGAAACACCAGTACATGTACAGGTACTGATACCCAATACTTACTGCTATCCCTATTCCAAGTATACGCCCGGTTCCGAAATAACGCCTGTGCCCTTGTATACGCCCAGGAAATCGAGGCTGCTATTCTATACGCTCGGGGCCTATACACGGGCTTTTAGGCCGTTAACGGTAGTGTAAGTACCTACAACTTTAAGTACAGTCAAATCTGCCGTTAGCGACCTCTGCTGTAGGCGACCATCTACCGTTAGCGACCGATTTTCCGTGCACCGACGGTTTCACATACAAACTGATCTGTCCAGAGCGACCATCTGCTGTGCGCGACCAGCGACCGCGATTTCATGCACGGTGGCTGCATTCAAATCTGCTGTAAGCGACCGCGACCCAGGTTCAGTAAGGTGCGAAACTGTACTTGCCAGTGCGCTGTCAACTGCAAAGTGTGAAAATGCGCTGTCTTGCAAGTGCGATCGACTGGCGCCTGGCCTGTACTGAGGCTGTGCTGTAGCTCTCAAGTCCAGGCAGTGTCGATCTACTGCCGTGTCGCATACGCGTACTATACGGGTATGGTCGTCGTTGAATATCCAATAAAATGATTAAAAAAATCACATTATTCTCGTCGATTTGAGTACATGGAAGCATATACATGTACCTGGTATGCCGGATTTACCATACATCTGCCGTAAGAGACCATCTGCCGTAAGCGACCGCTTTTTCTTGCACCAAGGGGCGGTCGCTTACGACAGATTTGACTGTACAAGTACAAGGCTACATCATGATTGTACAAACTACTACAATGACGATACAAGCCATAATCATGACTCGAGTAGAAAGATAATGATTCATGTATAATTATTGTACTACATCTACTGTATACATGTAGTACATGATTGATTGTACCAAAAATAATAGACCAATCCCGAAAAGATTGTCTGGGTTCGAAAGGGGGCATGTCAACTGAGAGTACACTGTACAACACATACATGGCACTACCTGATCAGCATGCGGCACAGGACGTGTTTGATAGTTCGCGTGTGAATGCGAGGGTAAGTACACGGTTTTCTCGTTAGTTGCATGCAAGAGAGACGATGCGACAGAAAGCAAAGCCGTTTGTAGTTTTCTCTCTCGCACTGGTAATGGTCTACTGTTGGAGTTGAAATGCTAAGACATAATCCTTGTTTCGCTCTTCTGTGTAGTGTGAAGAGGTCAACGAACATGTAGAGCTCACTTTGATGAAGTAGGCAAGGCTGTGAGCGCTGTGGCTCAAAGCGATAGGCCCTAAATCTTACGAGATATTTCGCCGTGCTATTGTTTGTTGCGAGCGCTTCGTCTTCGATGAGTTCTGCCCCTTTCCTGGCAGCTGCCCTACTATAGGACCAACCACGAAGTGACTGTACTCATCTGCAACCGATCAGTGTTATATTGTACAAGAAGATATCGTTTTCGCCAAGCCAGTGCCCCGCCAAAGACCATCGCCGTGTCACACCGTCGGAACGAGTTCATGATGAGAAACATCATTCGCGCGAGCGTGATGAAGAACTATTTCGAAAGACAGCATAGTCTTTACCCCCGAGACGACAACTATGCGCACGTCCTGCAAGGGGAGAATGTCACCAGCGACATCAACGAAGACGACGGCAGTATTTCGGAAACCTGGAGTCAGCGGAGGTCGTCAAGCTCCTCCGCGACCCGGTACATGTACAATAGGTGACATGTCGACACGAGCGTGCGGAAACACAGCATACACTGTAGTAATGTTGCGAGAGTTTGCGGAAGGAGTCCAAGTCGGGAAATCCATCAGCTCCAAAAGCTACCTGTAGGTGGGCGATGAGAGTCCAGCTTCAGACTACAACAGTCAGGACTTGTAAATAGTTGAACTTTGTGAAGCGGCAGATCGAGTTAGTTAGCTGAAATCGTAGCCTGTTGCAGTATGTCGGCGCTATGTAGCTTGCATTTTTTACGGAGAGTCCATCGCCACGCGAATGTTTCTCTCCTCACCGAGAGCTTGCTGGCCTCCAAACTCCGTCAGGGTCTGCCTAAGGTACCGAAGGTCCTTTGACTAGCTGCTGGCAGGACTCCATCAAATCCTTTAGCTTCAGCTCGGCGAGCAAAAGTCTCTCTCTCCTCCGCCATGAGCTGACACGTACAAACTGAATACAAAACGATGCACTTCACACGTGCTGGCTTGCACGCGTGCCCCCTTTCACGAACCCAGACAATCTTTTCGGGATTGGTCTATTGTACAGTCAATATTAATTTTTTAAATACAAGCCGAATCGCGAAGACAACAAAAAATTCAAAATACATTATTGAATAATAATAAATTGAATCGATCGTCCCGTCGATATGCGATAGCGACGTTCATGACGATGAGACTACTTCCAGACCATAGTGGCTATGGAACTAGTTACTTACTTGGAAGAGGTAGCAAATCTTCGTCCAAATAATTTCTAAGTAAGAGTCCTGGACGGCAAGTACCTACCTAATGTTCATATAAGCTCATGGTTCCGTGCAGATGGGCCGTGAAGAAATAGAGCACAATATCTAAGACTACAATTGTAGTCGAGTCGGTTGCTAATATGCTGGCAGTGACTGCATTTTCCGGCCGAGTTGCTCGCAGCAGCAAGAAATTCCCATTTCTACAGGCACTGGAGCCGCGTTCAGGGCGACTCCTCGTTACGGTGCCATCTAGTGGCAGGACAGGAGGCTCCTGCGGCTGTGGACATGGTACTGTTCGGAGCTTGTCTAGCTCAGCTGCAAGATGGCAGCAAAATGATGCCATGGTAGCCACGGTCACTAATCCTGATTTAGAAGCTGCTGCAGCGTCGAGTATAGAGAATTTAGCTGTGACGACGTCCGGCCAGATTCCCACTAGCTACAGCCCCATTACGATGGTGCAGCAGTACGTAATATGGATGCACGACTCACTGGGTGCGCCATGGTGGGCTTCAGTTGGTTTGTTAGCACTTACAGTCCGAGTTGCAGTTCTTCCAATGCAGGCATATGCCACGATGTATGGTTCCCGGTTCGTAGTTAGCACGAACGACATCGATTTGAAAACGGCGAAGTTCAACGAGGCCATCACACTACGGCAAAAGCGGGAGGTGGAGAATGAGGTTCTAGAGCTGCTGAGCGAGCGCAAGCTGGAAAACGTCCACCGTGCGTCACCGATGTACTGGCTGGCTGCGGCCGGTCCGCTCCACTTCCTGTCAATGTACTCGCTGTACTCTTTGTCTACCACGCCGTCCATGCTGCCGGCATTGTCAGCCGGTGGCTTGCTGTGGCTGAGTGACCTGACTGTACGTGATCCGTTCGGGACACTATCTGTAGCTAGTATGCTTATGTCCGTGATCACAAGCAGAACACTGGCAGAGAAAGGTCTTCTCAAGGCAGGCACGCGCGGACCCACGCTCGTGTTTGCGGGCTGCTTCAACTTGCTCGTCGGTTATTTCGGCACATCACTCGTGCAGCTGTACTGGCTGTGTGCCTGCATCTCCCACGTACTGGCCTCGCTGAGTCTGAGACTGCCGCCGGTTGCCCGCGCCCTGGATATACCTAGCATCAGCAGTCAGCTGCAGGACCACAGCTTTGTGCCACTTCTCCAGGCCATGCCCGTGCAAAGGCAACTGCCACCGGTCGAGGAGCTGCGTGCCATTGCAGCTGAGCACAGGGAGGCACTGGCAGCCGGCTCAGCCAGCCTACCTCCGCCCATCATTGGGCGCTGGCTGAGCAGTAAGCCAGTCCGCGTGTCCTTCTTAACAGGACTCTTACACAGACGCCAGAGACCGAGCTCTCGCCATGTGACAGTTAACATGCGAAAGAGACGGGCCAGCTGATATCTGTCCGGCTGGTACTGAACATATTTGGTATTATAATTCTTACCGCGCACTGACGCCGTACTTGATCTCATTGGAACTTTATTTTCTTTCTAACCAGCTGGTGTTTGGAGCCAAGTTATAGAAAGCACGTGGCTTTGGGCAGGGTGTTGTGGTGTGGCTCACAGGGTATGTAGAGAGAGAGAGAGAGAGAGAGAGAGAGAGAGGGGGGGGAGTAGTTAACCTCACAGATCAGCACTGCATGATAGCTGACTCTGTCTGACATACCCAGGCATGGTCCAGGTACAGTACCATGTGCCCACATCCGGCAAGAGAGGCATGCAAACCAGAAAGAGCGATGGATGCATATGCACAGTTAGCACACCCAATGATTCTCACCTATCGCAATGATTGCAGATAACAGAACGAAACTGATCAAAACCATCACCAGGTGACTGACTGCCAAGTCCAAATCACAGGCGAAGCCATGCAACTCGACCCTGGTCTGCGCCCCACGGAGTACATTGGCACAAAACGGCCAAGATCTATGCACACCCTACACTTGCTGGGGTAACAAAATCTGTTATAGATTGCACACTGTTTTACTGAAAGCAGACACTAGAAGCACATGGTACGTTGAAGTGAAATTTGGAGTAACTTTACAGGGGCATAGGTCTCTGATCCGACGGACTGTGATGTCACAGATAATAAATGAACCGCAATACAACATAACACAGGCACATATTTGCACTGGGCCAATGTGATGATAATACGACTGAAAGCATGATGTGCAATACAACTTATGAAAGAATATTTTCGATATCATGGAAGACTCAGGGTGAAATATTCCTGAAGTACATAATGTACCAGTAATTTGTTTGAATGAACAAGATTGCGCTTTAGCTGTCCACACTGAGATGTACACTTCTACACACAATGACTTCTGTCTCATAAGCTGGAATTGTACTGTTAATCTCTACCATGATCCCAGTCCAACTACCATGTACATGCTTGAAAGTGCTGATCAGCCGAGTGCATGCATAGACAATGTAGCGCACGCTTGCAGGCACGGACAAGCAAAGAGTTGATGATGCACTGAAGGCGCTTCAATGCGATTAGATTGAAGGCCATTCACAGATGCTTTTTGTCGAAATATTGGTCTGACGGATTCGTCACCAACCAGCCTTGACAACTGGGAACTTAGAGCCAATACACATACCAGCAACCCCAGCCATGAAAGCTATAAATATAGAAATTAGTAATTACGCACTGGGTTGTGGAGTCGAAATACACACATTCACGCGACTCGCCATGATGATGCTCCCCTCAGTAACAACCCTTGTAATTTGTTAATAGTCTCACAGTTTCTCCCGCACACTCGCTGGTGTTAACCCTTCCTTTTTTTTCATTTTGCTGACTCGTACAGCTCTATCTTTTGTTTTTGGTGCGTGTTTTTGGCCGTGATGCCGAGACCTCAGGTCGGCAGAGCCATCAATGCCCCACCATCACTGCTGCGTCTCGGTGCAGCCCCTGCTCAATAGTTGTCATGTTCGTCCTAGTCTCAGTATCATTGTCTTTCTTTATTATTTTCGAGCTGGGAATGTGAAAATAGTAATAAAATATTAAAAAACGCTCGCACACTGGTCTTCCAGGCAAGTCCTTGAAGTAAAGACTTACTGTGTACAAACTGGATATTTGCAGTTTTGTCTCTTACAACAACAGGACTGAGAGAAACACTACATGAAACCACAATCCTACAAATGTCAAAATCTTTAGTTCTTGCTGGTCTAGAAAATGCACGAGCACAGATGCTCATATCTATTGAACCTGGGTTGAACCTTCATCAGGAAAGGCATTAGCATCAAACGGTAAGAAACCACCACAGTTTTCAGCTCCACAATTGCATTTTAGGCGAGGAGTAGTGTCACCATCTGCAGGAGGTGCACAATCACCATAGGAAAATGCCAAGTCTTCTCCGGCTACAATGTCACGCTGGGCGAAAAACGCCAGGCGCGGAACAATGCTGCCAGTGCGTACAGCCCTGAGGTCCAGGTTGGGAGCGCAGGAATGATTGAAGAAGCGTGACACATTGCCACACGTGGATGCATCAACGTGAGTTTTGAGGGCACTGCTGTCACTGCGACGCTCCTTTAAAATCAGCAGGAAGTTCATGTTATCGCCTCGCTCTCTGTCAATTTTGCGAGCGTCCCTCTCTCGAACAATCAGTCCAGCATACTCACAGACAAAGGAGAACGCCTTTATAGCAACAAGTGTTCTTACAGCCCAGCCTAGAGGTGCACGTCTGTAGATTGCTAGAGATCGTGCACCGTGACAATTCCGCTGGACATAGCGATTGCCACATGACATTGGGCAAGCACAGTTCGGGCCGCACTCCAACAGCGGCCTTCTACTCCACTCTGGCTGTAGCAAGCGGCCGGTGGGGTCGCAAACTGCTCCATACCTATGCGTGCATGTGCAGTGTGACCCGGCATCGTCCCCATCATCGTCATCCAGAGCTGTTTGGCTTGCCTGGCTGGATGGTGTTGCAGTGGATGACGCATCACCATTGCCATCCCTTTCTTGGTCCTTTTCATGATGATCACAGTCAGAGCACTGTGCATCCGAACTGCAGTTACAACCAGCAAGCAATCCTTCCGGCATTGACAGATCCACGCCCCTACCTCCAATGGCTCGGCGCACAAACTGGGACAACGGAAGAGAAGAAATCGAGGAAGAAGACGATGATAAAGACAGCTGTCACCTCCGAATATGTCAACAACTATTTATTTGTTCAGTATGCTGCTTGGTGATAGTGCCTAGCCATGATATCAGTGATGGTCACATTGGACTACCGCCAAAAAGCGTGAAAAATTACTTTCACAATAGAATTGATTTCCTCCACGGTCTTTTTTTGTGAAAGTCAGAAAAAGAGAGTGCGTCGGGCGACTTACGAAGAAATTGAATTATTTTCTAAACTTAAAGCAAACATAAAAAACTGACCTTGACTGTGGCAACAGGGAACTGCACATCATCCACAGTGTTTATAATGGAGTACGGCCATGGCTGGATTCCCTGTGCAGACATGCTGACTGGAGAGAACTGAAGAACTGAGTAGCTCGACTGGAACCAGCACCCTAGACAATGGTCAGTCACTGCAAGCACAGAACAAAAAGATGCCAATCAAGCAGCAAGACTCAACAATTACATGTACTACAAGTAGCTGTTGGCCCAACTACACGTAGTGGGCATTCACTAAGTAAGGGTCTATGGAAGCACTAAGGTTCACTTTTGCTGAGCGTGGGCCATCTATTTCAATACGAAGTGTATCTCCATGGCATAGGTTACACTGGCAAACAGTGCAGCAAAGTGACCAGCAGAGAGTTGAATCCAACGCAGGGTTGCACACCATGACCCTGTAGGCTGTAGCTATCATGTAACAGCGTGCACGGGGTTGTCACTTAAACAGCGTGTATGGGGTTGTCACCTGTTTTGTGATGTAAAGTTCTGCCGTCGCATACCTCACCAGGACCGCCGGAAGCAGTTTTGGATTGGTCTGGTAGTTTCAGTGCCGTAAACAACACAATTGTGTTGGTGGCTAAAATGTTGGTCCGGTGATAACCTGACCAGCCGGATTAGGACCAGTTCTGGCGGCTCTGCTCACATGTTGGAGTTCACCACTGGGGGAGGGGTAAATATGTACTCTCGAAAATGGCAATGCAACGTTGTGAAGAAATTGAATTTTAGGCTGCATTCGATTGTGGAAACTGGATCCTGATCCCCGCCGACCAGATCACTTTGACCGGACGGATACAATCGAATATGCACAACCAAGAGTACATGAAAACCAGAGTGTGCAGCTCGGATGGGTTGCTGTCACGGCGGAATTCCGTGATTACATCATTTTAGTGATGTAGTGCGTACAAGCAGGATTCAAGCAGGTCTCTTTCTGCACAACTGCAGCTCAGTTGTACGCACTACGCCATTTCCCGCCTCAGATCTGCGCCAAATATGATGTAATCACGGAATTCCGCCGTGACAGACACCCATAGCAGAAAAGGCCCCAAGCTGCACACTCTGGGTTTCATGTACTCTTGGCACAATTGATAATCCGTTTCACGACCTTGGCAACCCTGTTGCTACAGCTCATCCCGTACTATTCCGTTGCATCTGTACGCATTATGGTGAACTCTTGACCTACAATAGTGTACGCATATTTCGAGTTTTGAATAGATACCATGCAAATGAATCTGTCGAATCTGGCTCCGTGAGGTGGGTTGACTGGATCCGAATCCGTGGGCCCGGGATCCGGATTCGTACAATCGAACATGTACGAAATTGGCGAATCCGGGTCAGGGGCCCACGGATTCGCACAATCGAACATGCCCCTAGTCAACTTTGCACTACAGCAGGCACGCAATGCTTTTCCCGTGCCCAAAGTGAAGTAAAAATCATGTGGCTTTGCTGAGTCTAACACGAGCTGTGATATCTATAATCATATGTTTAGTGTAGTGTGCAATATCAATTACAAGACGACAAGTTTGATATCACTGAAAGTTTCAAGCCTTACTGGTATCCTAAGTTCCAGAACAACAATCCTAACCATGCTAAACGCATGTTGCTCACCTCAAGCAATAAAGAACTATTACTTGCCAGCAATTTCTCATCAGTGCAAAACTACAATTTCGTGTCCATCTTCTGCAGTATTCAGGACAGTAGTAGATGTTCAGTCTGGCAGTGGCAACAGTTTATCCTAGCTTTGATCACGTGTTGACAGTCTCCGCTGAGTCCGCTCTCAGAAATAGTAGTTGGATATCAATGGCTGCATGCTTCCAAACAACCCACACGACTGTAGTCATTGCAGAAAAATCTCCCCAGCATAGCAGCAAGATCAAAGTAAAGAGTCAGACATTGTGGCCTCTTGATAGCAACACCGGTCATGATTTTTGTGTAGTCTTCTCATTTCGTAATCGTCCTACTGAATAAACTTTGTCTTTTGTTTGACTGTTTTGTTGTAGCTTTCACGTACTATCTGACCAGCACCATGCGCAAATGCCAAAATAGGACGAGTTTCCCATGTCATGTTTTCCGTATTTGCATCATTCTCGTATAGTGTAAATTCTCGTATAGTGCACCACGTGCGCGGGACGCGAGTGCACAAATCAGCTGCAAGTGCCAGGATACCAGTGTCAGTGACACGCGCTTGTGTAAAGTGACTTCTGGCAGTTCTGCCAGAACCCAACTCCTGTTGTGGACACGGCTGAGTGCACAGGTAGAATCTACCTGGCTCTAACCATGATCCAGTCGGGCCTTATCTTATCGACCATTTGACAGCTAGCCTTTCTTTGCCTTCGAAATCATTGGGAATATGAAAGGGAGCTTGGTGTCTTGTTGCTGAGTTATGCCAAAGAAATGGAGATATTCAAGAGAGCGAAGGCTGCCATTAGGGCTTTGAAGGGAGTGCCCGAGATCGAAGAGCATCTGAACCGCGATGCATTTGGCCTTGCCGAGGTAAAACAATTACAGCATACGATTGTTGGGCACAATGCACATGGATAGTTTCAGCCAGTTATTTCCCCTTCTGCTTACAGACCGTCCGCCATGGATTTCCTCACATGGCGACCACCCTGGCCGTCGATCATGTGCAAGGTTTGATTGCTGTCGGCAACAGAAGCGGTGTTATTCGGATGTATCCAACTTACATAAAACCTGTGTTTATTTACTGTATTGTTGTAGGCTCATCTTCTGACATCTATGACAGTATTCCAAACGAGCCTTGAGTGTAGTGACAAGACCACTCAATGCAAATAAAAGAAAGATCTAGGTGTACGTGTACGGGAGTGCCATGCATACTAGTAATGCTGTTGAGTACAGTCAAAGCTATTGAAACCGCTGTGGAATATAATGCAACAGTACGCATGTGTGGGCGTTTCCTGCTGTATATTAGCAATAGGCGTGGTGTAAGGGTGTAGCACGAATATATTTGCTGAGTTGGAAGTAAGTTACCAAACACTGTAACATAATATCGTCCACATTAATGTGTACTCGTATCAAGAGTATAATTATAAGCTCCCAAGAGTGTGCAATTCCTGATACCCTTTCTATGGGGTTCGTCGGCGGCGAAAACTCACATCACGTGGTATAGTGGTCCCGTTGTACGTTTCCAGCCAGTTTTAGCGAGCAGCGGAGTAATAAAAATAGCACTCCCGACGGAAACTCACGGCGCTTTTATGCAACTCCAAGGCATGGTCATGTCAGTTATTCGGATTGCGCGCACGCTATCCTTCGTTGTACGTAGTACCTGAAACACGTACACGTGTGAGATTTTGCCTTCGGAGACCCCATATGCAGAGTTGCACACTCTTGGGGGGTTATTTACTCTTGCTAGTATGTATGACTGCTGTACATGTATGGCGTACACACGCACCGACCACCTATGTCTGACCTGTCCAGAGCTATTCTTATCAGACCAGCAGAAACACTATACATGCCACCAAGAGTACATGAGCTAGAGTGTCCAGCTAAGTCACTTGACTGTACGTTATGTGCAGAGTAAGGTGAACAGTGCATTCGATAGAGAGGTTCCGCACCACGTAAAGTTGAGCAACTTTTATATATTATGCAAGTGGGCGGAAAAACTCGTGAATTCGCGAGTTTGCGCTCCACTTACGGAGAATTGTCTATGCGGAGTACGTAGGTAGGGCTCTGATAACGGAGGTGCTCCGTAAGTGGATTGGGGTACAAATGTATGACTCCCCAGGTCGACCCGGCCGTACACCGCCGCTTTCTGAGTTACCAAGGGCAGCTATGTGATTCGAAAACTCCGTATGGCGGAACACAGATCCGCATGCAGTGTACGTAAAGACTTTCCATAGATCGACTACGTTTTTTTGCTAACGTAATTACGTTATGCGGAGCCTCTCTAATGTCATTTGCCCAGCTCTGCGTCCCGGAAGCCGATTTTTGCTGCGATGCGGCGTGGACGGTGTGATATGAACTGCTCAATGCCAGCTGCCAGCACTCAGACTTGTGGCGGGATTCAGTGATTATGGCCTTTGCTAACATGTTGGCAATTTTGCATGTCTGTCTGCCGATTGCAATGGGGTCCAGGAAAAGTACGTACTCCGGGGTACTAATCCCCCAAGAGTGTGCAACTCCACTGTGGGTGCTGTCCCAGCAGAATTTCAAATTGACATCGTTTTCATGATGCAAAGTGCAGTGTTGAAGTATTGTCAGACGTATCCTGGAGCTGTGGTAGAAAACTCCCCATTTGATCCTGTTCTCCTTGACAAATGTACCGCTGTCAGATTCGGCAGACCAGCAGTTGAGGTCAGCGTGAGGCATGAGGTCAAGGATTTCGAGTCCTGTCAGGTGCTGCATTTGGCTTTCATGCCTAATGAGGTCAGTCTCTTCACCATTTGTCTGCGTGAATCTTGCTCAATCTTGATGTACTTCCATGCTTTTCTCCACAACAATTATTTGAACAGCGAACTGTGCGTAAACTGTGTACATGCATGTGTTGACATAGCTGTAGTAGCCAATCCGTTCGTTTCTTTCTTCCGTTTCTACAGGGTGCGTTGTTGAGCGCAACATCGGACAACACTCTGCACATGTGGGATCTCAAGAGCAAGGAGATCACCGTAGCCCAATCGGTGCATTTCGATGAGGAGTCGGTGACAGCTGGAGCGTACGTCTGGTTTTTACTTTAATTCTTACTTCCTTATTAGGAGAACTAGTGTTGCAATACCGGGCCATGCAGAGATCGCGTGATTGTATTCTGGGCTTGACTAACTACCGTGCGTTGAAAGCGGGCATATCTGCAGAAAGGTTACTGCCTTTGTTACCGTTGTAAACGTCTGTGCTGATTCGGGAGTGGGGTTGGCTTGGCGGTGCACCTATTATTGCTGCTGCTGATGCTACTACTCCACCAGCGGTTGCTGCAGTATCTGCGTGTTGTCAAGCCTGCTGCTGGGACTGCTGCTGTTGCTGCAGTATCTGCGTGTTGTCGAGCCCACTGCTGGGATTGCTGCTGTTGCTGCAGTATCTGCGTGTTGTTGAGCCCGCTGCTGGGATTGCTGCTGTTGCTGCAGTATCTGCGTGTTGTTGAGCCTCCTGCTGGGGTTGCTGCAGTATCTGTGTGTTGTTGAGCCCGCTGCTGGGATTGCTGATGCTGTGTTTTTTAAACTTTTTTTCCAGTCTGACTTTATTTTACACATTGGTGCGGCCCATCCAGGCAGCCAGCTGTCAGTGAACGTAAAATAAAAAGTGGTATGGACTTCCGCTATTGGTACTCAACTTGCCTTTGCCGCTCGAACCAGGGGCTAGCCCCTTCATTGTTTTAATCTCCGCCCCATCTCTCCATCTTTCTCTCACTCTCAAAGGTTGCTACCCTAAGCAGACACTAGGCCTACACCAAGGCAGTGTGAACCAACGTTAAAAAGTGTGTGTGTGTGTGTGTGTGTGTGTGTGTGTGTGTGTTTTGTACAGGATCACTTCACTATGCGCGCCCATACAGTCTGACTGGATCTATGTTGGCCTGAGCTCTGGCAATGTTTTCATGGTCAATGCCAAGACCTTCCAAGTGTCCGGCTATACCATCTACTGGAACAAAGTGGTTGAACTGTAAGTCCTTGCTGATTGTGGTGTGTAGCATGCTGTCATTTAGGGCGCGTTCAAATTGTCCTCATCACCTTTTCAAGAAACAACTTAGAAGAGATTAGTTTTTAAAATATCCCCATACAATGGGTGCTGTCAGCCTCACCATTTCCTTTGGAGTTGTCATAGCAATTCGATTTTCCAAGTGTGCTTCCCGTGTGATAATGGGCTTCCCTTACCGTATGTGCAAGTTTTTTCGTAGTTAGGCCACACCAAGTTTTTTCATTGTTTCTCGTCACCGCGCGCGTACCTTTCTTGAGGATTGGACCAAAAAAAAAAATCTCGCGTCCCGGTAAACACGCATAAAAAGGCGTTGTAAAAGTACGCGCGGCGTCAAATCTGGAGTGCAGTGCTAGTGCACGAACCGAAGGACGACTTTTGCACCGTGTATGTACGCATACCGGTAGTTCAAGTACCACACCACCACACGACCTGGTCGTCTTCTTTGCTACACACAGTTCCGGTACAAGTCAAGACAGTGCATGACAGTGCACCGTTTTGGACTGACAGTGTTCCGGGCATCGGTAAACTTGCGGCATTGCGGACTACAAGCACTGTGAAGTTGCCGTGATTCCTTGAGTTCTTTATCAGTTCATCACGCGTGGTGTATAGTCTGATTTTAGGTCATAAATTGGGCCTTTGTAGTGTAAATAGCAGTTTTTGTTTTTCAAACCCTATTTTGTTTTTTTTCCGCCCGCCCGCGTTCCTTTTGAGATTTTCAGGTGACGAGAAACAATGAAATAACTTGGTGTGGCCTTACTACAAGAAATGCATACCAAAGGTAGTGACATCAGCTGTGTGAGGGACAAACATGAGCACGTAAGGCCAAGTAAAAAAAAAAGCTAGATGATCGTCCCCGTCCGCCCCAGTTTTTGTCAGCGCCCCAAGAAATATTTTATTTTTTAAATCGTGAGTTTTACTATATGGACCACATACTACTAGTATATCACAACGTCAGTATCGATCTGCTGAAGAAAGAAAAAGAAAAAAAGAAAAAAAAAGAAAAAAAGAGAAAAAAAACCTTGATGTTGTTGTGTACACTGTGTGCATGAGAGGGTAAAAAGTAAAAAAATAAAAATATAATCCTCCCGCCCTCCCCGATTTTTCCAAAAAAAAGGACGATCATCTAGTAATTTTTTTTACTCGGCCTAATGTACTTGTAGTTTTTTTGTTCTGTGTGGTGTGCATGGACACTGTAACCAAGTTGGTCTTTGCTTCTCCATGGCTCCCTTCTTCTTTTTTGTTCAGGTCGCAGCGTGCACGACCTGGTGCTGTCAATGCGATTCTTGAACATCCCACAGACTGTGGAAAGGTCTGTCTGTGTGTATGTGTTAACATGCGCAAATGTAGTTTGTTATTTTTTGTTATTGTTTTTCTGTATCAGTGTGTTAAGTCGGTAAGCAGCAGCTTTCAGCCTATTTTTCAATAAAGCAAACCCAACTCGACCACATGCGCTCTCTGGCCGACCTCGTCACACCAGCAACATGACTCGAAATTGTAGATACTGACGAATAAAATTTCCTCCCATCAGTGTCTTATCTCCTCTCTCTCTCTCTCTCTCTCTCTCTCTCTCTCTCTCTCTCTCTCTCTCTCTCTCTCTCTCTCTCTCTCTCTCTCTCTCTCTCTCTCTCTCTCTCTCTCTCTCTCTCTCTTTTGATGTTGCCAGATTCTGATAGTGTATGACCACCTGTTAGTTCTGTGGGACTTGCGTCGTCAATCACCTGTCTACCGGTGTCCAACAAAGGAGGTGAGTGTATGCGTGCGCGCGTGTGTGTGTGTGTGTGTGTGTGTGTGTGTTGTGCAGTTTGCATTCATACATGCATATATGATATGTGTAGGTGTATGCCGTGTGTATTGCAACTGATCTGACCAGTAGTACTTTTCTCTGATGCACACACAGGCTGTGCGCGGTGCCGACTGGAGCAGCGACGGCAAGAGCTTCATGACCGGACTACGCAACGGCTCCCTGGCCACGTGGAACAGCAAGGATGGCAAGCTGATGCGCATGACTCGTCCCCATGCGGTCCACACTGGTTAGTCACATGTTTACTTCACATTGCTAGCAGTCTGTCTCTTTTCTACACACGTAGCCCAGGATGAATAGCATGTAGCTGCCAGTCAAAGGGGAGGTGGTGAAAACCAACCACCTGAAGAACTATAAAGAAGTAGAAATAGAAAGACAATAGTGTAATTGTAGAAAAGAAAAGGACATATGGAAACGAGTTAAGAGTAACTCTCCACCACTGTAACTAGATACTATATTATACAGTCAGAAAGTGCAACAACTAGGCACAAAACTGACAGAGTACTGAGACATTCGACGTCCTACTGGTCTTGTCATCGTCCAGTGACAATCGACATTCTTTGTTTCGTTGGGACTGTAGCTTGTGCTCGTTTTCGTTGCGCTTGCCTTCCCCTCTGTGGTCTTTCCATAACCTTGAACCTTCCAAGTTGGAAGGCTGTCGGTTAGCGCTACGGAGATGTGTTGAAGCTAGGTGTCAGGACGTCGAATGTCTCAGTACTCTGTCAGTTTTGTGCCTAGTTGTTGCACTTTCTGACTGTATAATATAGTATCTAGTTACAGTGGTGGAGAGTTACTCTTAACTCGTTTCCATATGTCCTTTTCCTTTCTACTTTTATTATTGGCTCAATACCTGAGTTTCAAATAGTGTAATTACAGTGCATTTCAAAAGTATCAATAATCGAAGCAAGCATGCGAACCCACCGACACAGTAACAAGGCACAGATTAAATACTTTCGACTAGCCGGTTTCAGTGTCAATTGACACTGCCAAAGAATGATATCAAAAGAAATGATCAGCCTTGTATCCGTCCAGTTTTTTTCACTTCGCAGCTGTGAAGAGGAAAGGTGCAAAATATCCTCAATTTATTTCACTAATTTGCTAAATTAGGCGGAGTGCAGAGTTCACCAACGGTTATTGTTCTCAACGCCACTGAGAACGCGAAAATAGAGGTCTATAATTTTGAAATGCACTGTAGAAGGGGATTATTGAAGTGTTGAAAGCTGGGCATGTATGTGTGTGCGTGTGTAGGAGCGTGGTGTACATGCTTGAGCACTTGACAGTGGAGGAAAGTTGCTGTGTGTGTGTGTGTGTGTGCGCGTGTGTGTCTGTGTGTGTTTGTGCTGTACCGCAGGTGAGCTAGCTTGCCATGGAATTCACAAACTGAAGTGGATGTCCACAAAAGAGTAAGTGTAGTCTCGTTATCCTATTGTTTTTTAACACCCGCCTTGGAAGGGAAGAGAAACTATGGAAGGGCCTTGAATGGGGAGATGATGGTGAAAGCTCTTCTTCTGTGCATGAGCTTCACAGTGCAGCAGTATCAGTGGCAGGACCAGGCACTGCCCATAACTTCCAAACTAATCACCTACGTTCCGATGGGGAAAGGCCAGACATCTGGCATATGACATCACTAGTTCCACAAAAATTGGTAATTGAGTACCGTAGTAATATTTCCACTAAAATTCACCCGCAGTGTGCCCGGTAGACCGAGGTGCCTGTCACTTTGAGGTGCGAATATGAGAGAAATGAGTATACAGTGGAGATTTGCTGAGCCTCTGTTAAGCGTTTACATTCCTGTGATGAGTGCTTTTGTAGAATGGTGATTCTTTCCATTTTCCTAATGAAGACTCCTTGTCAATGCTGCTGCTGCTGCGCTGCGTTGTG